TTTATTTTTAATTGAGCGATTAAAAACAGTTGAATATCAAACATTATGTCAACCATTTTAATTCGCAGTGCTCATTTTTTTTAAGGAAAAAGTGATAATGTGGCGCAGTTCAAAGTGCAGTTCAGATTTTATTTTTTATTTATTTTATTTATTTTTATTTTATTTTATTATTATTTTTTTATTTTATTTTATTATTTAGTATTTTATAGATTTTATATTTTAAATGTAGTTGAATCTATTAATAGGCAAAAGTGTGATAATACGCGAAAATTTTATTGAGTATTTGAAATTACATAGAAAATTGAAGAAAAACAAAGAAGATAAAGTAGACATATGGAAGAAACTATATTAAACAACAAAAGAAAAAAAAACTAAAAATACTTTGCTACAAAAGAGAGGAAGGGGAGCGTAGACTCATGAACAGCAGAAGCGTACGACAAAGCGTAGTTCAAGGTCAGCCGAAGCGTACGGCATCCCCCTCGAATAGAATTTAATAGTAACTAGTCATGAAAATGAACATTAAATGGGAAATTAAATTCCTCACTCCTCTTCTGAAGCTGCCTAAAAAGTGTGCTGAAATTCCTCCGAAGTCTTTCAACATCCCTTGCTAAAGCCTGGGCTTGTTCGACAGTTTCTAGACCTTGAAGCCGAGTAACCTCTGACTGTGAATAGTTCAACCGAAAGCGTAGACCGTTATAGCTTGATATAAGATTTCTATGGGTATCTCTAAGTGCTCGATATCTTGCTCTATACCTATCAGAAGTAGTATTAGAAGAAAGTTCAGTCAGTCTATTATTCAAATTTTCAATTTCGATTATGGAATTTCCAACTTGGTCTAAAGCAGTGCTGAGTTGATGTCAGAGTTGGTAAACTTCAACTTCTAGGTCATCGATAATTTGTCGGTGGTCCTCTTCCTGACGAGAACGGAGGCTGGCTTGTCGGTTGTTGAAAAATCTTTGTCGTTGAAATTTACCCATCCTTGAAATTTTACAATAATTTTTGATAAAAGTTAAAAATTATGAAAAAAACAGAAGAGATTCTTAGCAAAATATTTATAATAAAAATGAAGTGGCTGTGCAGATTCTCAAGATTGTGAGAATTCCTCTCCTGCAGAAATATAAACAAATAACTATTGGTCTACATTTGTTGTTGATTATCGTATGATTACTCTTAGGTTGAAAAACCTGTTTGAAATGGAAATGGCGCAATTGATCAACAAAATTAATAATCACATGGAATAATTTCGAACGATTTGGAAACTTTATTATTAGAAATTCGTGAACAAGAAAATCAATAATAAGGAAAACAACACATTGAAATTCATTGGATAATATTCGACGGAGCTCATTCTTTAAGAAGGGGAATGTTAAATGAAATAACTTTCGACCTA